ACCACATTTCTCAATACTATTTGAAGGTAGGCTCTAATTTGATTGTTTAGAGCCTAGGCTCTATACAAACTACCCCTCTTTAAAATAAGTAATGTAAGGGTGAGGTTTGTATAAGATGCCCACCTTACAATGAAAGTAAAGCATATTTCCAAACCTTATTGGATTTTGAAGTTTATTTGTCGAAAACATGTATTATGGTTTCAACATCTATTTCTAATCCTTTTCATCCGAGCTTAATCCAACTATTTGGAGCTTAAAAAATCTTAAAATTAGATGGTCCAAATAATGTGTTCCAAAATCACTATTTGTAAGACTCAAAATCCTTTTCTTCATATCCACATCTCAAAGTCAGCATGATTAATTGGTTAATTTTTGTGGTGGAACAACTCCATTTTTTTGGTGAATTATTATCTACGAGAGAGGAGCCTAGGATATCATATTGAAACTCATGTCCCTTACTTTCTCTAATGAGTTTTTGAAGTAATAAAATTTAAATAATTTAATACTATGACAATCATACAATCAAGATCTGATAACAACCGAAAGCCGCAATCACATTGTGTGGATGGTTAGCTGCACTCAATAATCTTCATTTTTCATTACATGTCAAATTCGATTTATAATGTGAAACTACCACACAAAAAAAGATAAAAGAAAAAGTAGCCTACGAGATCATTTATCATCGAGGTGGTCCCAATTAATTTTGGCCGTTAAATGTGAAATTAGATTGTTACATTTATTCTATTGACTAAGCTCAATCTTTATATTTTTTTTTCAAATTTTGTTATGGCCCAGGATATTTCGTATGGATGGTTGTAAATAGTTGTCACCTCTTTCTATCAAAGATAAATAATCTCATTTTTTACCACCCAAAAAAAATTAAAAAAGTCATTATTTTCTGTTTTTTAATAAGTGAGCAAATCCATACACAACCCCATCACCAAATATATGCAGCAAACGTGGCAAAAACGTTTGCAGTGAAAAAACCAGTGCTCAACATGAGCAAATCCGCCATTGTTGTTACAGGGTCTAGGGTTTATTCTTCATTTATGAGGTTAATGGCCCGTAACAAACCCATGGTTTCAGGTGACATGGCTTCCTCTGTGTTGCCCTCCTCTACCAGATCTTGTGTTAGGCGGCGTTCTATTACTAGGTGAGTGTTTAATCTCTGGTTCTTGTGGTTCTTCGGTGTTGATACTTGTTGGGTGATTGGATTTTAGGGTTTCGGGAATTGGGGTGCAGTAAATTTCGGTTTTTGAGTGTTTGATGTGTTTGGCCTTATTGCTGTGTTGCCACCTCTCTTTCTCTGTTTCTAGTGCTGTATTGCCATCTCTCTCTCTCTCTCTCTCTGTCTCTTGCTGTACTTTCATCCTCTTTCTCTCTCTATTGCTGTATTGGCATCTCTCTCTGTGAGCGCGCGTGCGTGTGTGTGTTGTGTATTGTGTATTGGGATTTGCAACTGGGGTGGTTTTCTGATCAAAGATTAGAACTTTACATGGCTTTCTATACTTGTCTCCCCACCGCCTCTATATCTCTCTCCTGTTTATGTATTGAGATTTTACGTTTGAGTTCTTCATTCGGAGATTGCAACTGCTGTCCCCCACTCCCCGCTGCTCTCTCTCTCTCTCTCTCTCTCTCTCTCTCTCTCTCTCTGTCTCTCTCTCTCGGGGTTTTAGTATTTGGGTTTTCCATTAAAGTCTTAGACCTTTACACTGCCTTTACTCTCTCTCTCTCTTCCCCCTCCCCCCTCCAAAAAAAAAAAAACCAAAAGAACACCCTGGTTCAGTGTATTGGGGATATATATTTGGGTTCTTCATTCAATGTTTAGAAGTGCTACATGCCTACATTGCTTTTGTATCTCTCTCTATCTATTTGGACTTTACAATGTGGAGTTGTGAATATTAGATTACCGGTGGAGCTTAGCTGTTTTGGATCATTGCCACTGCACAGTGCAATCGCTTCTGCTCGATTGCAATCGATACTCTCCGCTGAGTTTCATAACCAGGGATTGCTTCCTCAAGGTACCAAATTTCTCCTATCAATAGCTAAAGTGCTGAATTATTTGTGTAGGGTTCTTGTGAACCTTGTAGCTTGCGGAACCCGGAATCCCAAACACCGGGATCCCACCCATGATCGTGTACATGATTGACCAAATGCGAAGTAGATGAATACAACTATAAATCGAGTGCAAGAAACAAAGAAAACATAAAAAACACACTACAACAACACACGATTTACGTGGTTCACCCCATAGGCCTACATCCACGGCCTCGGCAACTAGAAATCCACTATCACAATGAAAATTACCGTTTTGGGTTACAAGAGATATACCTCTCTCAAAACATCAGTAAAAAACCATTACTGATCTTCCCTTCTAAACCTGCTCTCCCGATCAAGCAACACCATCGATCAATACCGTTTTTCCCTCTGCAATACCACCTTCTTTCTCTGCAATACCGCCTTCTTTGCCTCTGTAATACCGCTATTGGAAATATAACTTCGAGAGCAACATAGAGATTTCTCTCTCTAAAAGTGGAAGTTAACCAACTCAAAACTCATGGAAATACCTTCTCTAGAAGTGGAAGTTAATCAATCCAAAATTCATGGGAATACCGCCTCTTTCTTGGAGGCCATGTGTCTTTCTCTCTTGGAGACCCATCTCCATATTGGAGATCCATTCCCATACCCCTAAAGGGGTGACCCTCAAAGGATGGGTATTATGTCATCTTTCACTCTCTTATAAAGATATCACTTTCTTGTTTACCAAGAAAATCAATTTTTTATTTTCCATAATACCCTAATCTTTAGAAGAAAATATGGGTATGGTGATTTAGCTATCACCAAACCCAACAATTTGCTTGTATGGGCTTGTATGGTATAGAAAATACTGTGTAAATTAATGAAAAAATAACTGAATGTACTGTAGTGGATAACACTGTTAAGTGTTAACCTGTTTTTTTTTTTAATACGATTATGTGTTAATCTGTTATTATTATCGTTTTCGTTAAAAAATTATGCGTTGTATTGAAAACTGTTATAGGCACTGGACGTTGACAAACTGGAGAAAGGGATATTGGACAATGTGATTTTTTTTTCTTTGAGCATTGGACACAAAAGAAACTTCATGAAACACCATAAAATAAGAAACGAAATGGAGGCCTCCAAGAAATATATAGTAGAGCTATTTTTTACAGAGTATGGGATGCTCATTTAATTTTATATACTGCATACTTTAGTGATATTGATTAATTAATGGAAGAAAATTATTGGGTCATTGGTCAAATTCCATTTGTTTAAGGTTCACATCATTGGCTTGTAGATATGTTAATTTTTAGTTTCTTGATACATTGAACTGGAAAAGAAGCATGCAATGTTGTAGGCTTTATACATAAAATATTTATGATGTTAGTAACATCACTAGGAGGCTTGGGTCACACTTGATTCACTTGAGATGCAAAATCACCCAAATAACATGCAGTGAAACACATGAAAGCCTTGCATGTTCATGTCCAGTCTTTATTATTTCTACGAGCTGAAGTTACTCAATCCTAATTACTGAGAGATGCGACATCAACTGAATTGTCTCACACTTATATTTCTCATGCTATTTTTTCGGTTCCAAAAACTATCATGTCAATCCTTCTAGATGAACGCATAGCAAAAATGTAGAATATATGGTGTTTCCTCACGTGAATATTGGACTTAATCACTAAAGGCTTCTAATTTCTGTGAATAATTTATTGATTCCTGGTCCTAGAGTTTGTATTCTTGGCATGGTTGTGCATGAACCTCTCGGGGGTCGATAAGACATAAGCCAGAGTCCATTGCCCAATCTATCGTTAGGCATAAGCTCTATCTAGCTGCACCCATCAAAATTTTATTGAATGCAAGAATAATTTCTGTTACTGTTAGTTTTCTATAGGAATTTTTGGTTCTAAGGACATTGGGGCAAACCCTTTGGCTATATCAAACTACTCTTTGAATGATTACCCTGTACTTGTCCTAACATCTATCACATTGTATCTATGTTTCTTCCAAATTCACTAATGTAATGAAACTCCTGGTTTCTTCCACCAGATACCACCACTATCTCTTCTTCTTCTAAACCTAAGAAGAGGGCCCCGCTCAAGGATCCCATCCCTCATGCGAAATCATCCAAACTCCATTCGCTGAGTCAACAAATTTCCAAGATACTTATGTGTGAGAGCCAGAAAAAGCTGCATATCCCTAACACCTTATCTTCATGCAGACTAAATCTTACTTTGTTGAGAAATGAGATCTTCCTCATGAAAAAGTATTAAGGCTACTTCCTTTGGAGTTTGGACCTTATGGGTACTGTGAGATGAACTCTTAGGCAAATCAAGAAGCCTGTTGTGCAATATGACCTCGGGAAAACCATATAAAAGTTTGCGAATATCTCCAGGAAAGAAATTGGTAACCCTTGCTTAATCTAGCCCCCATATCCCTGAGGGAAAATGTGTTACTTTGATCTTCCCTTTCCTAGCCGTAATATCATTAATATTTGTTGAACGAATATATTAGGACTTCCTTAATTGTGACTTGTGAGTCTCCCTCTTGAGCTCATGTAAAATCATTGTTATTTTCTTCTTATAAATGTAATGCTGCCTTTAGATCGTATTTCAACTCTCTTCAGTCTTAACAGATCTCAGCTTTCCAAGGAATTTGTGGCACAGCTTTTGTTGGGGACCTTTGTTTGGCATCACCTTTCTAGATGCTGAAACCTAGAACCTACAGTCATGGGCACTTTTTGACAGCTTGTGGGAGGTGGGACAAACACTACCTCTTGCTCAAGATGAGAATTAGATTGATAGCCTTTGGACCCCTTATGGAAGTTCTCTAAGTGATGAAAGTCCACTAGTCAAGGCTCTTTAAAGCTTGACTTATTTAGTTTGAATACCCTCAAGCACTCATAATGATACTACAAATGATTTGAAATTACTGACCAAGTGCCAAGATATGAGAACTACCCTGCATCCTAGCCTCCAAGACCCAAATTTGCATATGATCCTGTTCCTGCCTTTGAACACCAGAGACTTGAAATCTTCCATGAGCTTCTTTTGATAGGGGTATACTTGAGTATGAACATATACAGCTTGAGTTTTTACTTTTTATAATAACACTTTTTTGGGGCTCACAAACATATGGTGATTTAGGTTTCCAATAATCCTAGATTATCTCACATTCGTTGATTAGATGCACCGGGTTAAGCAAAAAGTTTCTCCTTATTTTCTTTCTCCAACCTGTACAGTTGATTGTATCAGTGATCAAACAGGATCACACTTCTCTGGTGCGATCTCTTTTCTGTTTTCCTTCCCTTGAATTCTAACGACCTTGAGAATACCCTTTTCTCCCAGCTCTGGTACATTACCCCACTGTTCGAGCTGATGCTGCAGCATTACTTGAAGGGGCTAGTGTCTAGTGGCTCCTTTTCCTAAATAAGTCTCAAAAGGCTTATCAGAGTGGCAGAATGATCTAAGCCTTTTGCTGCTATCAAACTTAATCACTTTGACTTAATTCGAGGAAGGGAAGCTGTGGAAGGTTCAAGCATGACTTCATTGTTTATTGATATGGAATGGACTATTCCATTTGGATGGGACATAGGGAGTTTGTCTATTCCATTGGCTTCCTCAAATGATGGGTGTCTGGTGGTCTTTAGGAGCCATGGTTTTCCTCATTTCCATTATGATTATGTAAGCGACTTGAACATGAGTTATCGCAAGTGATGAAATTTCCTATCCGATATCGAGGCTTGACAATCCACAACTCTTAGTGCTACTATGACCTTATCTCGGAAACAAGGCATTATCTTGTAGAACCTTCGAGTTTTTTTTTTTGAACTTTTGATTCTTTTTTGCTAAATGATTGTACAAACTGCATCATTGGGAGAAGGATTGTTCTTCTTTTTATTTTTTTTTTAAATCATCATAAGTATAGGGTGCTGTTATTTGAATATTTGGGGCTCAATGATTTCATAACATGTTCTTCAATGAAAAAGCCTTAACAAGTTGTACCTTAGAAGTTTCTTCTTGGAGGACCCTCAAAGATTGGAGAAATGGATTTTAAGGTCATAATGGGAACATATTAAATCAGCTTCTTGGTTCACAATCAAGTCCTATTTTTTTCAAATAAAGTTGACATTTACTGATTTACCAAGTCCTTGAGCTCTAATAGAACTATTGTTAATTTCTGCACTGTGTTTTCCTCAGACTTATATGACTGAATGGTGCTCTATATAACGTTTGAACCAATCAAACTATGGATGGTTATGGCTCCTTCTAAGATAGTTATCTTTTGGGAAAATTTCGTATAGAATCCTAATTCCTCGTATTATTTCATGGTAGACCCCCTTTCCGTTTTTCTTTCAAGCGACATAAGAAAACCTCTAAAGATTTCACCATACCCCCTCATCTCTTGTCTCGGCCTTTTATTGACTTTTGATCATTAAAATTAGCCCCAACAAATCTTTTTATACCATTTCAGCCTAAAAACTTTTGTAATAGGAAATGAAAAAAGAG